TGACTCGAGAGTAACTCAGATTTGCACATTTTCGTTTAATCTTGTTTTTTAATTTTTTTTGCTTGCTAAATTTCTGATTCCACCTTCAAATTCTTCTTTCCATTGTAATATTTGTTTTAGGCTCGTATAATGCAGCCAGTGATGTCACTGGAAAAAAAATGTTGATCAACTCTTTGGAATAAGTTTGTAGTCTTGACATTTACATGGAATGATCTGCTGAGATGACCAACATGAAACTGTTGATATGCCCTTTGAACTAACGCGCAAACTCCTCAATGTGCAGGGAAGTGAAAAACAATTTGATCTTCCAGTGAAAAAGAAGGAAGACATTTGTACAATAATGTATACTAGTGGAACGACTGGAGATCCCAAAGGTGTGCTGATTTCAAATAATAGCATTGTTACTCTTATAGCTGGAGTACAGCGTCTGCTTGGGAGTGTGAATGAGTCGGTAATGAATTATTTGTTCTTTATTTTCCTGCCTTCTGATATAAAGCATAGCTACATTATAGGCTTGACGATCTGACCTTTTCACATTGCAGTTGACAGTGGATGATGTATATCTTTCATATCTTCCACTGGCACATATCTTTGATCGGGTTATCGAAGAATGTTTCATTAATCATGGTGCCTCAATAGGATTTTGGCGAGGGGTAAGATGTTCAGATCTTCAGCTAAATCATGGTACAGATTATACTTATGCATTCCTAATCATGTCCACAGGATGTCAAGTTACTTACCGAAGATATTGGAGAGCTGAAACCAACTATCTTCTGTGCTGTACCTCGTGTACTAGACAGAATATATTCAGGTAATATCTTTGTGGTCCAATTATTCACATTCTTATCTTATTGGTGTACCTTTGACTGAGTGCCTTCTATGCCTTGTCGAAATGCTGGATATATTTTGACTAGTTCGTTTAAACATTCTCAGGTTTGCAACAGAAAATTTCTTCTGGGGGTCGGCTTAAAAGCACATTGTTCAATCTTGCCTATGCTTAGTAAGTGCTGTTCCATTTTTTCCATGTCAAATGAAGTAAAATATGGCAACTTCTTCTGGAACATAAGCATTTGTATCCATAAGCTAACCTATTGACTCTTTCTTAAAAAAAATATTAACTTTCTAATTATGCTTATCTTCAGCGACCATATGCTGACTATTTAGCTTACTCTTTTTTTTGGCCCATCCCTAAAATATGACCTCTTTCCCTAAACTAAAACTTTTCTCCTCCAATTATTCAGATTAATGTAATCCTTTTGTGGACAATCAACAAGAATTAAAATACTACTTTTTTATTTATATGAAAAGGTCATATTGATATAAACTAAGTACTACTTTATATTATTTCAAATTTGATGGGGACAAATTCTGGACTTTCTCTTATCTTTTGATAGTTTATTTACCAAACTCAGTATAATAAATCAAGCATTTTACTCTCCCTAGAAAGCTAACCGAGGCTTGTTGACATTGGATGGAAGAAATAATATTTTCTGTTCGCATACATGCTTTTTCGCACCTGAATTTAAACTGATCATTTCTTCCATGATTTAGGTGTAGTATATTGGACAACTTTGGTTGTGATTTTTGGTTAGCATAAAAGTAAATCATAGTTTGAGTTATTTTTAGTGGTGGAGGCTGTTACCTTAACTTTTGAACTTCTACAGCAAACACTACAATTTGAAGAAGGGACGTAAACACTTTGAAGCTTCTCCGCTTTCTGACAAAGTTGTCTTCAGTAAGGTATTGGAAATGCCCTTGGAGCAGCTAGCAAATCCATTTTTTCCTATTCTTCTTTCCATTTTTCAGTTAGTCCGTAACTCCTGTTGTTCTTTTGCTAAGGTAAAAGAAGGGCTAGGAGGCAAAGTACGTCTTATATTATCTGGAGCAGCGCCCCTTGCAGCTCATGTGGAAGCTTTTCTGCGAGTTGTGGCATGTTGCCATGTTCTTCAAGGATATGGTATCCCATTCTTTCAATATATTATGTGATTAGCTGATATATGGATGAAGAAATTGTTGGCTTTTAGCTTTTATCTCAAACATAGATGGTATAATGTAAAATCATCTCTTTATAGAACTTGATTGATGGGAGCATCTCCTAGATTTTTAATGATCCAACATATGTAGTAATTGCAAGACTTTGTTTTCTAGTTGCTGGATAATGAACGTCTTTTCTTTCTATTCTCATTTAGGTCTGACTGAAACATGTGCTGGTACATTTGTCTCACTACCAAACCAGTATGATATGCTTGGTACCGTTGGTCCCCCGGTGCCCAATGTGGATGTGTGCTTGGAGTCCGTCCCTGAAATGGCATATGATGCTCTATCAAGCACGCCACGTGGAGAAGTATGTGTGAGGGGCGACACTCTTTTTTCAGGTTATTACAAGCGTGAGGACCTAACAAAAGAAGTCATGATTGATGGGTGGTTCCACACAGGTTTGTTTTTTCATGTTGAAGCTGAACTGATTAATGTCTGCTTGTCAGATAGAATTTGAATGGACCTTGGATCTAACATTTCTTTCTTCAGGTGATATTGGTGAGTGGCAACCAAATGGTAGCTTGAAAATAATTGATCGCAAGAAGAACATTTTCAAGCTATCTCAAGGTGAATATGTTGCTGTCGAGAATTTGGAGAATATATACGGCAATAATCCTGTTATTGACTCTGTAAGTATCTACTTTAGATGTAATGGCCTCTTAATTATAGCAAAAACATGGTTCAGAAGGGATACTTTTCTTCATTGGTATCTTCGGCCACTTCGTCCGTGCAATTTCTGCTTTCTACATGAATGAGGTTGAGCAATATTCATCTTTAGTGTCGAGCGTTAGTGGTCTAGCTTCGAGGAAATAATATGCTTTTACGAAAGAGGACTGTTATTCAACCAGAATGTGTTTTTTCATGTTGATTTTTTTGGATTAGATACTCTGGTTAACTGGTGACGTAGTCTATTCATGTTAGACGTGAACTGATGAAAGTGGACTGATTTCTTTTTCTACCTCGACTCCAGATATGGATATATGGAAACAGTTTCGAGTCTTTCCTTGTTGCTGTTCTTAACCCAAACCAACGAGCAGTTGAACAATGGGCCCAACAGAATGGCGTATCTGGGGATTTTGATTCGCTGTGTGAAAATCCAAAAGTGAAGGAGTACATACTTGGAGAGCTCACAAAAGCTGGAAAAGAAAAGAAGGTTAGTTCTCCTCATTGCAGTTGCTTTTTCTGATAGTGCATGTGTTGCACTCTTTGATAAAACCTATGTTGCTCAGACTCTCCGAAAATGTCTCCGGGTGCGTGTCAGATCCTCCAAAAATAGTGTATTTTTGGAGGATCCGTCACCGGTGGGGCAACATTTTGGAGAGTCTGCACAACATAGGATAAAACGCATGGAATAGAAACGCTCCATCCTATGGAGATATTCCGAAACTTATATAAATATGATCATCTTTTTGCAGCTGAAGGGCTTTGAGTTCATAAAAGCTGTACACCTTGATCCTCAGCCATTTGACATGGAACGAGACCTTCTAACTCCTACATTTAAGAAGAAAAGACCCCAGTTGCTCAAATACTACAAGGTAATTTCTCTTTTGATCTGCTGGTGGATGTTGTGAGCAATCAACTTTTCCATATTTTTTCTTCATTCAGTTTCCATTTTTATTCCTTTTCCTTTCACTAAGGCGAGCCGTGGAGCAACAGTAAAGTTGTCTCCGAGTGGCTTATAGGTCACGGGCTCGAGTCGTGTAAACAGATACTGATTCTTGCATCAGGGTAGGCTATTGTAGCTGCCCTAAGATCCTACTATGCGCGGGGTCTGGGGAAGCAAGAGTCTATTGTACGCAGTCTTACCCTGCATTTATGCAAGAGGCTATTTCCACGGCTCGAGCCCGTGACCTCCTGGTCACACGACAACAATTTTACCATTGTTGATGCGGATTAACACACATTATATATTATACCTGCAAGTAAAATGCCTTGGTTTTTTGTCAATACGTAATCGTCTAATCTGGACGCCTATAGTAGTTTTTGAGGCCTTTTACTCCGATGCTAAGTGACCGGATTACTAGTTAATAATGGGAAAATGACACTGTATAGTTACTCTCAAAATAATAGCCAAAAAATGTATATTTTTTGTTTATATATACATTCTGTATGTTAATATACAAAAATTATACATATTTTATACACTTTTCGGCTACCAAATGTAAATAATTTCTAGCACCGGTTAAAAGTGATAATACCCCGTTAATAATGCTATCTATTTAAATAGGAAAAGATATATATATNTATGAGATTGTTTTATCAAATTGGATTTGACTGTTATACAAGCAAAATTATTTATTGTGTTATTAGGCTATTTAAATAGCTCAATATTGCAGTTTTATGGTTTAAAAGGAAAAAAATCATAGGAGCGTTATAGTATCGCTATCAAATCCTAATAGCACATAAATTTACGTCATTACTCAAAGCACTAATGACAAGGTTGTTTTAATCTGATTTTCATGTCACTATTCTTATTGGTTTGTAAAATTTTGAGTCGTAACAGGTTGGGTTGAGTATGTATATTTATTGTTACTCCAATCAAACATGATTACCATCTTGGACCATTTTAGTTCTCTTCCCTACTGGAGAAGGGGGATCTATTTAGTGTAAGAACTACCTTGTAGGCAGTTTGGAATGAATTCAAAGGTATGCTTTGAATTTGAATGATACAAAGCAATTGACTTAAATGAGTTTATTTGAATCAACTAAATCAAACAATTTGTAGTCTTGAATAAACATTGTTTAAAATGAATATTAGCTAATGTGGGTATTACCTGAAAATGCCAAAACCATCCAGTTACAGATTCCATTTTTACCATTTCTCTGACTCTATCAAACAAAATTGTTGTATGAAAGTTTTCTCAGGTAGCTTGTAGAGTTACCAACTAAAGTTTTCCAGAGTAACTCCTTATGCTATGCTGTAGTATTTATTTCTTTTACTTCTTATGTAAATTTATGATCCATATCTCAAAAATGATATTTCTAGGTTTGTACACATTATAAATAACGTTACCAGAATGACCACAACACGTAAAATACAATGAAAGGCTACAAAAATGACCAGAATCATAACTAAACACACAACTTTACAACAACTTGGGGATTATCCAACAACTTGGGGATAGCACTATTCCTAAGAAATCTTGTTCCTTGCGTGTTTCAAAACTGTTGGTAATTTGAGCCAATATAAAATCTTATATGAATCCACGAATCCCTCTTGGATTCGGTAGGAGCACGAGTAGGTAAGTTAGTATCGATCCGGTGAAGAAAAGAGAATTTAGTTGATAGAGTGTGTAAATATTGCTGCTTAACTGAGCTTTGCGAGATCAGAAGTTCCGCAACTCGCATCAAAAAGTGCTCTGAAAACTTTGTAAGGTCATTGGCCACAAGCAGATGCCACCTAACTGAGACAACAAGCCAGTGGAACGTTACGACAGCCCTAACATGGCCTGGGCTTGTACTATTTACCATCCAGAGTCACACTCTGCACCATTCATAAAAGAAATATTAAAAGTTCTTACATTGAAAAAGAAACTCAAGAACTACTATTGGTCGGTAACAGAATACATGCATGAACTGAACCCAACAAATTTTATCCATCATTTGCCAGCACATGAGGTATCAGATCAACATTATCTCTGGAATTAGGGGCAGACGCGGACCCCAGTGCAAATAGTTCTTCTCTGGTGTACTTCAATCTTTGATCTAGTTTGAGATAATGAAAGAAGTAATATCAGACAAGACAGACATAAGCATAAACTTTAGACCAAGAAAAGTTTGACAATGCCTCACCAAGAAAACTGCCTCTGTTAGATCTAAGGGGAGATGAAGATGGCCCTCCTTGCTTGTGTTTGTATATTTTGGTCCGTGATGTCACTTGCGATGAAGATGAGTGAATAGATAACTTTTTGACCAATGCAATACTAAGAAGATCATGCCTTACTTCAATTTGACGATGCTTTTGCTGAAATGACAACAGTGCATCCTCTGTCAGCAGCCAACAACCCCTGAGATCAAGAATTCTCATAGATGGTGGAGGGTTGAATACGATGAGCCCAGCATTAGTGAGCACACCGTCACGAATCCCTAGTGTTACCAAGCTTCTAATAGATGACAGCTGATGCAAAGAGGTATCAGTAAGGGAACCACTCCGTAAAAACAAATAACTCAATTTACGAAAGCTCGGCAAAGGAGTCAAAGCTGAATCCTTGATTCGAGTCTCCTCCAAATCCAATCTCTCCAAATGATCAAGATTACATAACCCAGACAGTGATGAAATGCAATTAGGATCAAAATCCGCCTCGTTGACCACACCTGGCATTGTGGCAGATTACACAACCATGTGAGTCAAGAGAGAAGAGACTAATGTTGTTCTAACCCTACAGGAAAAGAAGTCTCCCACAATAGGCAACTGAACTGCTATTTTAGGTTCCAATCTAATTAATTTTGGTTGGATAAGGCGTAAAATGCATCCATCTGTGATGACATCTGAAAATAAATTTAAAGCACACTAAGATCTTTGGGAAATGATTTTCACCACAAATTTGAAATTCTACAAGTGTGTTCATCGTGTAATAGTCTAGCCTAGCAGGGACACGTATGACTTTTTGTAAGCGGTGTCGAAATTTAAAGTGGTGAACAAATTACTACAACAGATCTGGGAGATAAGAAGTAGAGAAGAGCAACACCACCAAACCCCGTCACTTAGAGATGAGAACTTTTTCGTAGTTACGGTTTAAAATTCATTTATCTTATTCTAGAGTAATTACTTTTTAGAAGTTAAATAGTATTTCATTGTCAGTTATGGTGTCACGGAAGAGGACACCGTTCTATTTTTCAAACAAAAGAGGCTTAAAAGAAAAAGAAAAAAAAAAAAGCAAAAGAAACGCATGCGAAGTATTCGAACCGCAGACCTCGACGTTGCAAGTGAGGCGCTTGACCATCAGACCATGCACTATCTTTTCTTCAGCAGTGTCATATGATTTATATGTATACCTTTTGCACAATGTTTATATGTGTAATAACTAAAGTTTTCCGGCGAAGCGGTGTCGGATGACACCGCTTGGACTAGGGTGCATCCGCCCCTGTAGCCTAGAAGTGAGATACATATTGACATTATGGTGTTGTCTTTAAGTATTCAAGCATCCTCTACACCTATCTAGTTTCCAATGAAGGAGAAATTGAGGACCACAAAAGAAACTAAATGTAAAAAGTAAAAGTTTTGAGGAAAAGAACATGGCATACCTCTGATATTTGTACCACTTAGATTGATACTTTTTAACGAAGGCATGGTGCTCATAAAGGGGATAGCATAATCGTCAATGGCTGTGTAAGATAATAATAAAGTTTCAAGATTGGGAACAAAACCAGCTAAGATTTCCAGTCCTGCATTGCTTAACTTTGTCCTGCTGAGATTTAGGTGGCGTAAATTTTGACCTATAAATGCAATGTGTTCAACTGACTCATCTCCTGCAGATGTACCACTGAGATCTAAATCTGATATAGCACTCATATATGGCAAAAAGCAGTAAGAATTAAGAGATGAATTGGAAAGATCCAGGAGGGAGAGGGAGGAGGTTTCAAGTTGTTGGAAAGCTTCACAGACATCTCTTATGGTTGATCCAGACAGAATAAGCTTTGCAAGGGGAGCTTTCCGTCCTTCTCCTTCGAATGAAGAATGTATCGTGCAATTGCTCATATTTAGGCATGCAAGAGAAGGCAGACTTGGCAACATAGTGACCTTGGTCCAGGCCAAATTCAGAGAACTCAATCTTGGGAACCATTTAAAATAAGATGCTCCTTTGTTTGATACTTCACTCCCCCAAAGATCCAAATGTTGCAGCTTTCGGAGAACCTACCCGAACCATAAAACGTGTCATTTACCTTGAGTAAGTTCAATCATTCTAAATAAGTACAATTAAAGTACTAGGTGATTAAAAGAACAATACATAACAAGGCTAGCTCAAGCCTAAGATACTAAAGCAACTGCTTTAAGCCTTCAAGGTAACTTAAAGGGCACAAGTGGACCAAACCATCCTTTCATTTCAAAATAGATTTGAATTATTCAAATGTATGAAATTGTGACATTTTACTTAGCGAAAAAAACATCTACAGAGCTACTTCTTTTTTCAAAATAGATTTGAACTATGGAATTATTTTCAACGTTCTACTTAGTGGTAAGAATTGAAATTTTAAGGTACTGAGAATTTTAAGAAACATTATTAACCTTGAATGTTACCTAAAACATTACATAGGTCTTTGTGAATGGATGAGAATTTCTCATACCCCCAAGCTTAAAGAGAAAAAAAAGGTTTAATATGCCAAGAGGAAAGGGTGGGGGAGAAGAAAGACAAGATTTTAAAGACATGTTGACAACAGATGATCTACCTCAAAATTTCCTCATAAAAAGAGGATCTACCTTAAGATTATCCAAAGCCAAATCAGACACAGGCAGGCCTCCCAAATCTAACACAGACAAGTTAGTTAACGAAGACAGGAGTATCACACCATCATTTGTGACACCTGTTTCTGGAATCCACAACTTTTCCAAAATTGGGATGGATGTTAGATGTCTAATTCCAGCGTCAGTGATCTTTGAGCATCTGGAGAGGTCAAGCTCCTTTAAGTTTGTCATTCCTGAGGAGAACAAAAGCAGAGCTCTGTAAGTAAAAACTTAGAGTGACATGTAATATTTATAAACCAATACAAGTTAACCAAGGGGAAAAAATAAAGAAATAATGGTTTAGAGGAGAATATAACGGAATATGAGCCAGGTTAGTTGCATTTATCTAAAAATTATAAGAGGAAAAAGGTTACCTGTAATTGCCCAAATGGCTGAATTGTTAATTTTGTTACAATCTGATAAATTTAGAGAGCGCAAGTGATCAAAAGCACCTATATATGCCATCCATTCTGCATCCACGCAGCTCTCCCCCCTCAAGTCGATCTCCTCGACACAAAATTTAAACACTCTAGACAAGAAAATATATATCAGCTTTTGGAGTAGATAATGCATGAATCCAACACATGTAAGAAGAAGTCAGAAGCTTTAGCTTTTGATGTTACACTACTGTAGAATTAGTAAAGTAACGGGAAAACATCAACTTTATAATCACATAGCTAAACCGTTTCTCAAATGTTAGGGGTGACAATACTATCATCATTGCAACACAGAGGTTCAACACTAGGAGCCTCATTTCACTGAGGAAGCAATATAATTCAATAATTATGCAGCTTCAAGGATGTGATTAACATTTCAAATCCTTGGACAACCAATACCCTGCAAACATATATGTATTGTTCTCGGGCCAATGCAAATATGGTACTCATAATTTCGACAACCACTACCCAGCTACCACATTAAACAATTATAATTTGACTCTAACACTTAGCCTCGATGGTTGAAGGGCCTATAACAAAAAAATATGACCAACATAAAACAAGTAATCAACTCCTTTACTTGTATCAATACACTCTCAGTTACTTTTGTTCTCCCATTGATTTCGTTAATGTTTGTGACAAGCCATTCTATTCATCAATTACTACACACTAAACTACTCCTTTTAACCTATTCCGTTCAACATTTCCTCTTTTCAACTATCAATCTGACCAAATTTGTGAAGTCAAACTATGCATAGATTGATTTTGACTTTTAAAAGTTGAGATGGTTATTAAAGCTGCAAACTGTTCATATGCAGTATCAGAAATTTCTATTACCATAATATAATTTTTCATAATTCACTTTAATATTACAACACGAGCTGGTCCATAACCGCTAGATTATGAAAGATCACATTTATTTGTAATTTCAGGACAGTAGCAAATAATGAAATACAGTAATAAGTATCCTGAAAAATAAAAGAAATGAGGTGATAATTAGGATATACTTACTCGAGCAAAGATGGGAAGAGGAGACGGCGGCGAAGAAGGCGGTGAAGAAGAGCTTCGGCGAGGTGAGATGGCATGCTTTCCAGAGTCCGCCGCTGTCTCCGCCACGCTTCGACGGCGTCACGGCTCTGCGTCGCCGATTCCATGCACATCTCAACCAGTTGGCTTTCCATTTTCTGGATCGGAAAATGAAAATGGTTAGTTCTAAAAATGACCACAAATACGTGTCCTCCAAGATTTATGTTAGAAGTCAAAGTCAAACTTTGTCATTTTAATTGATCTCTTCTCTCTTTTAATCTCTTTTATATTTTTTCCCTTTTTTACCTCCGACTAATTCCGATTCGCATTATGTTAGATCCTTAGAGATGAAAGCGCTTCCTATCTGTAATTGTTTTATTTTCAGAACTCGAATTCAAAACTTCTGATTAAAAATAGAGAAATCTCATTCATCCTATCACAATTCTTGACTTATGTCGTTTAATAGTTAAGTGAATTTATTTGGGGCAATTAATCTAGTGATCTTGGATGGTACTAAAAGGGTACTAAATGATGTACATATCACATGGATTGGACGTTGTCTAGAATTATCTATAGGTAGGCTATCCACAATAGTGTTCATAAGGTTTTCTTTTTATTATTATTACGAATGTATATGCCAGTGTCAAGATAATTGTGACTTGAAAGGACAAATTATTAAGTGTTGGAACCATGAAATATATAGAGCGCCTATAAATAAAGCAGAATAAATATTGAGGATTAATATATAATCACTTCAACTAATGTGAAATCAAGACACAATTGGTTGATTAATTGTAATAATTTCCTTTTCTTTTTCGTGCGTTATTATCAAGATACAATATTCAAAGACTGATATTTAAGTAAAAAAAAATGAAAGAGGATTATGTCCATCATTCACTAAATTTTAAAGTTGAAAACTACGGATTTATCTACTAATAAAAAAACACAAACATATAAAATATTAGAACTAGTCACGCTAAAAGGCAGCTCAGTGCACGGAGTATCCTCATTCACGCATGGTTCAAGGAAGGGTCACATCCCAAGGGATATGACGTAAGCAGACTACTCTAGTCTAATGCAAGCATCAGTAACCGATTTCAGGGCTCGAACCCATGACATATAAATCATACGAAGACAACTTTACTATTACTCCAAAGCTCCGGCTCCTAGAGCCAGTCACACTAAGAATATGAATTCTTATTTAGTGGAACAAGGAGTCCACAACAATAAACAATGCACTACTAAAATAGTATATTTGAAGAGGGAAAAAGAAAGCAGAGATGAAACAAGACGGATCTGGTCATATAAAATTTGTTGTCTTAACTCACAAAATTCCAATATGGCATTGATAAGATTTACCAGTTACCGATGCTAAACTCTAAAGTTTGGAATTGAGGGTTTTTCAACATTTTTTAAAATCATCGAACTTGGACTGCCTGCTCATAAAATTGTACAAATGCATCCTCTTTGTCTCCGTGCGAACGATGTTCGATATCCGCTTTAGACCCAACTAATTTGGATTCACGCCGAAAAAAATAACTTTGGGTAAAGCGCTTCCTCCATGGTGAGAGTATAGTTGGCATACTTGGCTATATGGACTACTCACTTTAGTTCATTTTATATAAAATACATTTAATTTTGCATAGGATTTAACTTTAAAGTTAATTTGATTAAAAAAAATTACATCAAAGTCTAAAAGTTGAGTAGTTTAATATGTCTGAGTTATTGAAAGCTGCATTTATAAGAATATACTGGAATCAAATATTCGGACATCCAAAAAGATAGGTGTTATTTAAGTTGGGACATAAGAATTATTTAGGGATCGTTTGGTAACAATGGATAAGTAAAAATATCGTAGAATAAAAATTTAGTACCGTCTTAGTCCTTATTTGGCTATAATTAAAAATAATAACGAAATAACTTTTACATATCAGATGGTGGAACACTAATCTCGGGATAAAGCAATAAAATAGACAAACTCAGGATTAAATAATACAATATACCAATCAATCAATAAGAAATAATACCAAAATAACTAATCTCAGCATAACTAATCTCAATATAATTAATCCCAACATAAATAATTCTAACATAACTTGTCTCCAAACCAAACGACCCATTAGTGTTTTTTCTTCCTTACTATATCCCCAGTTAAATTTGACTCAAAATAACCTCATAAAAAAGTTAATATTACAAGTACAAGAAATATAGAGATGTAATTACCCATTTATGATACTTTATTACTGTACGGGTTCAAATTTGAACAACCCCGACCGTTGATGAATACGACGAACGACGAGAACCTCGTAGCTCGACATCTTGCAAAGGATATATATATATAGCGTAAAACAACCTTGAAAGGGGTTGTACACTTTTCTAAACGCATAACACTTGTTGTAAACTTGCTTACAAAAGCGACAGAGAGGATTATCGTTAAAGAGGTTTCGACAGAGAGGATTATCGTTAAAGAGGTTTCGACAGAGAGGATTATCGTTAAAGAGGTTTTTTGGTCTTGATAAACAATTCTCATCACCCATACTCTCCTTATCTATTTTTTGTTCTAGAGATTATTATACTTAGCTAGGATTTACCTCTTCATTTTCTTTGATTGATTTATTCAAAAAGGTTCCGATATCTTTTGAGTCAAACAATTGGGTGCCGCCTGTGGCGATTTCTGTAGCTGAGATCTTAGTTTTGTCTAGATTCTTGAAAGAAATAATCACCTCTTCTTAGCATCACAAAGGCCAACAATGGCAGGAAAGGGAGAAGCAAGGCTAAAGGCAATAGTAGGTGTCACGAACAACCTCTTGAATTCCCTTAACGAAACCGGTAGGGAAGACAACGAAAACGCAACACCAAGTGCTACACATGAGGGAGAGATCTCACCCTCCCGACATACCGCACCACCCCGAAACAAAAGAGGTATGACTCCACTATTATCTGCTCATAACTTTTGTGTTTCTCCTTCAGAAATAGTATACGCACTGGAAAAGCTCGGCACAAAGGTGCAGTGGCCGCAAAGGATGAAATCGGATCTGAGCACCAAGAGATCGAATGTTCTGTGTGAATTCCACCAGGAAAGGGGACACAAGACCGAGGACTGTATAGGTCTATGACATAAAGTGGTAAAAATGTTAAACCAGGGATACCTGAAAGAACTGCTGAGCGACCGAGGACGAGTCAACTTCGCTCGTGGACGCGATCAACCTCAGGGACCTCCAAAACCACCATCACCAGCTCGTACCATACAAATGATCATTGGCGGCGGCGACGATACGGTAATCAACCATGTGAAATTCACCACCACACATAAACTCAAACGGACAGTTGCCCACGAACGGTATGACGACCTCGAAGATAGTATCATCTTCGATAAGTCGGATACTAACGGTTTGTCTTTCCCTCACTATGATGCTTTGGTTATAACTTTACGCATCACGGATACCGATGTAAAGAGAATAATGGTGGATGACGGAAGCTATGCGTGTATTATTCACCCACGAGTTCTCGTACGGATGAGGCTCGAGGATAAAATAGTACCGCATTGTATAACACTAACGAGTTTTAATAATGCAGTGGAACAAACCTCTGGAGAGGTAGTGCTACCCGTTCTGGAAGGAGGTGTCACCCTGGAGACGATGTTCCACGTCATGAACTAGGAAACAGCCTACAACGCCATCATAGGGCGTCTATAGATACACGCCATGCAAGCCATCCCGTCAAGTTTCTATCAAGTAATCAAATTTCCTACCCTATGGGGGATATTCAACATTCGAGGAGAGCAACGCACCGCCCAAGAATGCTACCTGATCTCCCAAGATTGCACGCATACCAAACAACTAAAAGGGGAAAGTGTAGAATCATAGCAATCAGCCATATCGAGAACCAAACCCGACGTACAAATAGAGGCCATCAGAGACCCGAATGTCATAGAAGCTTGCAAGGCAACCGTAGAAGATCTCGACCCCAACCAACTGGACAACACCGATAGCACAAAAAAGGCTTATATCGGACACAACCTCTCAGAACCAGGTAAATATCATGAGTTTTTGACTAACAATGTCGATTTGTTTGCCTTTTCCCATTCAGATATGCCAGGAATCCCAAGGGACATCGCCACACACAGGTTGAATGTCGATCCTCTTTACCCACCAGTACGGCAAATGAGGAAAGTTCAATGCCACCATCAACGAGGCGGTCAGCGAAGAAGTTGATAAATTACTCGCTAATGGTTCCATCTGAGAATCGAAATATCCCCAATGGGTCGCCAATATGGTCATGGTCAAAAAGAAGAACGGGAAAAGGCAGATGTGTGTCGACTTCACCGAACTAAACAAAGCATGCTCGAAAGATTCCTTTCTGTTACCACATATCGACCAGCTCATCGATGCAACGGCGGGACACAAAATGCTGAGCTTCTTAGACGCCTATTCTGGTTACAACCAAATTCTAATGGCTGAAAAAGACCAAGAAAAGACTACTTTCATCACTCATCGGGGTACATACTGCTACAAGGTAATGCCATTCGGACTCAAGAACGCAGGGGTGGCGTATCAAAAATTAGTCACCAAGATTTTCAAAGAACAACTCGGCAAGACCATGGAGGTTTACATCGACGACATGCTAGTAAAGTCGAAAAAGAAAGAGGATCACATTAACCATCTGAAGGAAGCCTTCGAGATATTGAGGCAATACAGAATGAAACTGAATCCCAAAAATACGTCTTCAGTGTAACTTCAGGAAAGATTTTCTGGTGTCACCAAGGGGTATCGAGGTCAACCCGGATCAGATCAGGGCCATCGAAGGAATACCGAAAATATTAACCAGCAAGAAGCAGGTGCAGAAATTAACAGGACAAATAGCCGCCCTGTCAAGGTTTATTTCACGATCGTCGGACAGGTGCCATAAATTCTTCAATGTGCTAAGGAAAGACCACGGACTATAGTGGAATTCAGAATGCGTCGACACCTTGAGAAAGCTGAAAGCGTATCTATCTTCGCCACCCCTACTCATCAAGGCAGACCCGGGCGAATGCCTACTGGTGTACCTAGAAGTCTTTGAAGTAGCGGTAAGTGCAGTCCTGATCCGCAAAATTAAAGGTACGCAATCTCCGATTTACTATATCAGCAAAACCTTAATTGATACTGAAATAAGGTACCCTCACCTTGAGAAACTAGCTTTGGCATTAGT